ATGATGAGTGTGAAAGTGTGAGTCATGTGTTGTGGGAGTGTCCAGCATATAGTAGTCTTAGGAGCAATTTCTTAGTTGCCCTGCAGGGGAAGCTTGGGGATGATGGGTTTGAGCATTTCCAGTCGCTTGATAGTTTCAGGAAAGCATCCTTTATATTGGGTAGTGCTGTGGGAGGATAATTTTGGTTCTTTGCTTGGCCTTGTTAAAGGATTTTATTTTGGATGTTTGGGAGCTAAGAAAGGTTAGGTTATACGGCGATAGTCCCTGTGTACAACAAACCCAGTCTTAGATTGCGTCTGGGGAGCTGCAGGGTGTCGCTGGTGGAAGGGGTGAGTTGAGGTGTCTGTGAGGTGAGACAGACACCTCATGTTCATATGGTGTATGTTCGTGTGTTAACGGTTCCGCCCATTGCTCTGGGTGCGTGGTCTATGGCCCTAGTGCTATGGCAGCCACCTGAGTATTATTATTATTCAATCTATTCACTCTTATGTGTTTCAATGCTCTCACGAGACGTTTTATAAATGGGAAGGCATGGCTGCATCCACAAATGCTCGCCACCTGAACTATTTATCTGCATTGCGGACATACCTTGGCTCAGCATGTTTTTACATTGAGAACAGAGATCAAAACTGACTGAAGCCAGTAGATCGTATATACAACCAACGTCGCGTAGCGCGTGCTCCAGCTAAAATTGACATGACGCGTGCGCTCTATGTAGCCTGCCGGAGAGGGTGCGCGATCGACCGCACGTTGGATTTTTCGCTTGTTCTCACGCCATATATCTGGAACGCAGTCGTTTCAGGAAAATCGCCACATTCATATCCATCTTTTCGTTGTTCACAACCCGTTGGTGCCACTCATTGGCCGCCTCGTATATAGCATGTAGCGCGAGAACTCGCGCGATCGACCACACGTTGGCTTTTTCGCTTGTTTTCACGCCATATCTCTGGAATGCAGTCGTTTCAGGAAAATCGCCACGTTAGTATCCATCTTCCTGTTGTTCACAACCGGTTGGTGCCACTCATTGGCCGCCACGTAGCCTGTAGTGCGAGAACTCGCGCGGACAGACAGACAGACAGACAGACAGACCGACAGACCAAGTACCGTAACCCTCGCTGCGCATGTGCGCCGAGGGTTAATGATGGTTGTACATATATACTTGCGCTACAGTACACATAAGGCTCGCTCCGCTCGCCCAAAGAATGTCAAGCATTTCCACTAGTAATAATGAAAGGCACTGAAGTGCTAACCCTCGGCGCAGTGGGCTGATTAATTTGTATACACATGCTTATAAAGTACATGTACATACTTAAGTTGCTACATGTCATCATGGGCTGGCTACATCAGTAGGTTAGCAATGGTAGATCCTTGCTCACCCTGTGCACATTGTGATGTCTGAATGGTGTGAGGGAGGAGCAGGATATTAAAATTTTCTTACACGGCCGGCTGTGCCTCAGCAGATCACCTGCAATGCTTTTCTACTCAGCCTTGTCCTATGCAATGTGTTGATGCTGATGACGTACACGCTATACCGTACGCATGCACGGCAGTGTGATTAGTGGGCTAGACCATCTCGTGGTCGCTTACCAGCTCGCTGAGAGTCGGTCACAGGCTTGCTTTACTGTTAGATAGCACGCGGGAGTCGATACTCGTCCAGCGTTACAACTTCTGGTGCCTCGAATGTATATACGCAGAGCTGGCCGAGGTAAGCCAGTGATATTCGCTCCTTCGCTTTGTTTCACGATAACTTTCGAACGCAGCATTTTTACAAAAATCGCTATTTTTAAAATAAAGCCAGTGTGGCACTGAACCAGTTGGTATCGCTTTTTGGGCGTCTTGTTGCGCGTAGCGGGAGAAAACGTGGTAACAGACAGACGGACAGACGGACGGACGGACGGAAGGACGGAATGACAAACTAACCCTCGCTGCGCATGCGCGCCGAGGGTTAATAATAATTAGCAAGCGGGAGCGAGACAACTAATAGATAGGTCGCACCTATCCGCCGAGCAGGTCTTTTTGCAAGAACGAACGAACCGTTGTTGCAGCGGTCCTTCATCTCTGATCGGACTGTAGCGGTCCTACATTTTGGGTTTGAGGTGTGTTCACTATATTCTGTTGTTGCGCATTTCATTTCGTTCTGTTGTATAGTGTTGGCCTTTTTATTTTGGCGTTGTTTGATATGTGCATGGTATTATAGCTGTTGCTGGTAAAGGTGGTACCACATCTTCACAGTTGCTCTTGCCTACTATTGAGAAAGATTCCCTTGGTGCATTTCTTGTAATAACTTGTGGGAATGTGACTGGTAAGTTGTATTGTGCTAAACTTGCTCACTCAAAGAAGGGCCAAAATGAATGTGTGCTGATAAATAATAGCTAAGTGGTATTCACCTTCTGAGGTAGAGGCCCTTGCTGGGAAGAAAGCAAGAAAGTGGCGCCAATCACTGTTGCATGTAGGAAAACCATTGTCTGTTTATGACTTATCAGCTTGTAGCAGTACATTGGTGGGTGTTAGTGGTCAAACTACATCCAGCCCTGATGGTTCGTTGCCTGGTATCACCTTGTCTAGTGGTAGACAAGTCTTGTCTGAAGGACAGCTTGAATCACAGCCTCTTGGTACTGCTTCTTCCCAAGGTGGAGGTCCGTCCTCTACTGTTTCCCGCACCCTCTACTTTCAATTGTGCCATTCTGATTCATCCTGTACTTGCCTTTCTTAAGGCCTTCCATCTAAAAGGGGATGTTGATACAATCAGGAGGTCTGTTTGTGAAAATTTTAGCAATGAGCTCGTTGAAAGTGCCAAGAAGGCGCTATGGGATTTCTGTGGCAGTGTTCTGGAAGCTGCCTCTTTTCCTCTCGAAATTCGCTGGGACTCTGAGAAGCGAAGCCAACTTATGGCTAATGTTGAAGATCTTCTAAAAGCCTTTGAAGTGTTGGATAGTACTGACTCTATTCCGCCAATTTTTTGTGAAGCTTCTGACCTTATTTGGTTGCCTCCCCTCTGTCGTGATCCAGTTGGCAAACAGGTGCAATCCAATACATGTGCTTTGCATACCCTTACTGCTGCTGTGAGTAATGCTGAGGAAAAAATTATTCACCTTACTGAGGTGACAAAATCTCTTTTGGATTCCAGTAACATCAGTCATCATAGGCAGAGCCTTCAGCCAAGCTCCTTTTATGCAACGGTTGTGTCTGCACCCCCTTCTGCCAACAGTGCTCCTTTGGTTCGGTCTCAGAGACCGAAGCAGCTCTCACGTGATGATGTCAGAGAATCTAATGTTATTCTTTTTGGTCTTCCTGAAGGAAAGTCTATTGTTGAATCCAAAGCAGCTGCGGATGAGGTGTTAGAGTTTCTGGCTGGCAGGCCAGTTGTCATCAAGGAAATTTTTCGCTTAGGCAAATTTAACCAGTCTGATCGGCCTCGGCCTCCACTTATAAAATTGTGTTCTATTTGGGACCGGAAGTTGCTTCTATCACGAAAGAAAAATCTCCCGAGACTTTAAGATTAGGCGTTTATTTCTACGTCACCAACCCCTCCCACTCTCGTTCTCCTTCTCCCTCGCCATCTGACTCTTCCTTCACTTCTTCATCTACTGCTAGCTACCGTAGTACAGGATGAATCAAACTCAGTTTGATGGCTTCTCTCAGATGTTGTTCATTTAATTGTAGAGGTTGGAATAGTGGATATTTAACACTTACCCACATAATTGATTCACTTGATCTTTGTTTTATTCAGGAGCATTGGTACTTAACGATAATTTGTATAAGGTTGCTGAAATTAGTCCTGATTTTATTTATGTTGGTGTGAGTGGTGTTGATCATGGTATATACTTTTTTGGTTGGTCGTCCATATGGTGGTTGTTCAATTTTATACAGAAAATCACTCTCTTCATTCATCACACCTATTGATTCCTGCTCTAATCGATTTGTGCTGTCAAATTATGTGATTCGAATGGTTTGATTGTTCTAATAATTTGTGTATACATGCCTGGGGATCATAATCATAATGCATTTGATGCCTACTTGAACATCCTTGGAGAATTGGAAGGTTTTATTGATTCCTATGATTTTGACGTTTGTTTGTTAGTTGGTGATTTTAATGTGGATTTTGGTCGGGATGGTTGTTTGAAGGACTTATTAGCTGACTTCATGTTTGATTTAAACTTGTCTGCATGTGACTTGTTATTCAGTGATGATATTGGCTATACATAATATATGAAAGGGATGATGCTCAAGCACACTCATGGATCGACCATATTCTCTGTACCCAATCCTTTTCTAACTTTGTATCTGATGCTCATACCTTACATTCTGGCAGTAACTTGTCTGATCACTTCCCACTCCTTTTCAAATTTCATGTTAACTGTCTGGCAGTTTTCTCTCCACCACCTCCTCCCCCTCCCTCTTCCTCATCCTCTCATCGCATTCTCTGGTCTAGGGTGTCTGACACCACCATTGAGAACTATCAAAATCTTGTTAGCAAGCGGCTTCCTAATTTCCCCTCAGATATTTTAGAATGCTCCAGGGTTGGCTGTTGTCACCATAGTAAGCTTCTGGATGATTATGCTCATCAACTTGTTTCTACTCTACTTGCCTGTTCCAAGCTTTGCTTTCCCAGTCGGTCACCCTCTTCTCGCCCTCTAGTTGGCTGGAGAGATTTCTGTCAGGATCTGAAACAAGATGCGGATCTTTGGTACAGGGTATGGAGAGAAGCTGGTGCCCCCCTCACGGGTGTTCTTTATGATATCAAAAAGAGCACCAAGAGAAAATATAAATCATCTGTTCGTCGTCTCAAGCGTGAACAACATCGGCTTGTTCGAGAAAAACTTGCCAAAAACTATGCAGACAGGAAAAAAACGGTTTTTGGTCAGCTGTTAGGCAACTGAGTCACCTAACTACATCACGAGCAGCTGTTGTTGATGGTTGTTCCGATCCTTTGGAGATTGCAAATATGTTTGCTTCTAATTTGCACAACCTATTGAATACTCATTCTCCTACTCTTCGAAACTCCATGTCTGCATCGATCAGATCCTCAATCTCAACTTCTCAGCTTCAGGATATCAAGGTGTCTAGCGACGACGTACTTCAAGCTATTTCTAACCTAAAGAATGGTAAATCAGATAACCTTGGTCTTTTCTCTGAACATTTAAAAGGTATGCTGGCCCTTGTCATCGCAGGTGACCTCGCTATTTTCTTTACAGCTTGTTTTAGGCATGGCTACCTGCCACAGTGCATCCGGGATTGTGTTATCGTTCCTGTCCCTAAAAGCGGGAAGGATCCAACAAGCAGTACCAATTATCGCCCGATTACATTTGCTTCTACCCTGATTGAACATGTCATTCTTCTCAACTATGGAAATCTTCTTCATAGTAGTCACTTGCAGTTTGGATTCAAGGCTGGCTCGTCTACCACCCTGTGCTCAGCCCTCATGAAATCTGTTGTTTCTCGTTATATAAATAACAGTTCCAATGTCTTAGGCTGCTTCTTGGATGCGAGCAAAGCATTTGATAGAGTAGATCACGGACATCTTTTTCAGAAACTAGAGAAGAGAGGTTTTCCACCAGCAATCCTGAATTTTCTTCTCCAGTGGTACAGTATGCAGAGGATGAGTGTCCAGTGAAATCATGACTGTCTCTCAAGAAGCTTCAAAGTGTCTAATGGGGTTCGTCAAGGTGGTGTTCTTTCTCCTTTCCTCTTTGCTGTATATTTGGATAGTTTGTTGAATGAGTTGTCTCTCTCTGGTGTTGGTTGTTGTTGGCGATGGATGTTTGCTGGTGTTTTTTGTTTCGCAGATGATATTGTTCTATTGGCTCCTTGTGCCTCTGCTCTCCGCCAAATGCTGTCAATTTGCAGTTCCTATGCATCATCACATGGTTTGATATTTAATTCTGAAAAGACTCAACTGATATGCTTCAGAAAGAATGTCCGGCAGTCCTCGGTTGACCACATTGAATTTAATGGAGTTTTCCTTAAATTTTCTAATAAAGTCCTGCACCTTGGCCATTTTCTTTAGTTTGATCTCAGTGATAAAGATGACATCATCAGAGCCACAAAAGACGTTAACCACAAGGCCAACTTTGTTCTGTACACCTTTCGTTATGCAGATCCATTCGTGTTGACTTTTCTCTACAAAATGTACTGTCTCTCTCTATTATGGTTGCACTCTTTGGTCCCTGTCCTCCACCTCCCTAAGATGCCTTCAGGTTGCAAAATACTGAGAAGAATTTGGCATCTCCCTAGAAACTCTCATACATCCATTGTCCTCAATACGGCAAGGATTTCTTATGTACACAATATTATCATGTATCGCTACTCGAAGTTCATCTCTCGTTGTCTCGACAGTGAGTTTTTTTTGTTAACTTTATTATCTCTGACTCACTCAACCTTGCCTACTTTTCTATTGGATATATAATTGCTTGTATGGTAACTCTCATACCAAATTTTCACTGATTATGATTCACAAGCAGCAAATATTATAAGATTCTATCGTTATATTACGTATGGCACTCATTCGCCTTTTGAACATGAGATTTCTAACATTTCCTCTTAATCTCATTCATTCTTCTTCTTAATTTGCACCTTTATTTGGTGTGTGCAACAATGATAATAGTAATAATATCGTCCTCGCAACGAGCCGATTTTTCTATGATTTTGTTATTGTCGAGCGCGTTAGCATGAGGCAACTACTCCGGGTTGTATTCTCGGGATGTGCGTATATACTCGTCACGCTTAAGAATGTCAATTAGTCACGCTTAGGAATGTCAATTTGTCACCAAAATGAAGTGTAACTTCCGTCATTTGTGGGAAGTCTAGCTTCCGCCATGCGCGCAGATTCGTAGGAAGTCTGGCTTCGCGCGCAGTCAGTAGAGCGCGCGCACGAGCGGCCTCAGTCGGACTGTTTACGCATTGGCGCGAGGCAAAATATGCGCTTGCACATTCCTAGTATATCTATAAGTCGTTTAAGTGCGCATGCGCCGCTCTGTACGCGCTTGTTTCTATCCGAAACTATTTCCAAATGTTTACACATTTTCCCACACGGTGCCTCGCGGTATGCGCCGATCGATCTAGCCAGCTAGAGAACTCTCCTCCATTCGACGGCATGCGCTGCAACTGTCGGTGACTGACCGAGGCTGTATATACCTCTTCCCAAACTTATGGTTCCAAGGTGCAATTGCAAATACGCTAGGATTTCTCGTGCACATACTGCTGCATGCCAGCTGCCTGGTGGACCACGACTGACCAGCTGAAAGCATAGGGTAGGTATCGTTCTTCTCACCTGCTCTCCGTTCTGCCAATGTACAATACGCATGTGACGGCGACAGGTAGATCTGTCTTGCTTCACGAAAGGAAAGCTGTGCGCTGACTGCACGTTATGCAGCCCGAACACCGCGGGCAAATCCGAAGTTGGGTCGCTCCCGCTCGCCAACAATGTTCAACATTTTTCCACTAGTCAGATACTTTCGAGACAGCGCCACCGCGTCTGAAGCTGCTGCTGGAGCTAAGATGTCGCATGTCGATGTAGGTGTGTCATCCCCGGTCGCTTCGCACGCCACGTAGCTACCCTGTCGTGCCTTTAGAATGGCGATTTTCGTTAAAAGCGCCGCGTTCAGAAGTTATGCCGTGAAAAGCAAGCGAACAAGCTAATATGCAAAATTAGCACAGGCTTACCTAGACCAGACTTGCTGGAAGCGTACATTATTAACTCGTTGTTCACACAACACTTTTTAAAATATACAAAATGTCACTGTTAAATTGCTAATCTAGTTGCCCTTATGAACATATATTTTACTTCCTCACATTTCCATTCAAAAGAATTTAAGTCTGAAAAGCCACATTCCGTTACGGTGTCGACTGCCATTTTGGATGAAACGGGGAAATCTCTAAACGATTGGTCACCAATTGTGTAATACCCATTGTTCTCCACACTAAAAAGCATTAGGCATCCATTTGGTTTAACTAGCCTTGAGAGACGGTACAACAGGCTCTTATAATCCTCATAGCTTTTTGCAATTGTTTCAAGCACAAAAGATGAAATCACTACATCATATAGTTTGTTAAAGCCCTCTTCAATTGGCGGATCTTGCGTGAGGTCACAGTGGACTACAGCTTTGACAACTTTGCGAACCTTTTGTTTCCTCTTTAACACCTCTTCTTCTTTTCCTTCAAGTTTTCGTTATAACAAATTGAAAGTGATCATCCCAATTAAATGCATCTTCACTTTGGTCTAGCCAGTTCCTAATGGCTTCACAGTTGGTTGGGGAATAATCAGACAAAACAATTTCAGAAGCTTTAGTGGCAGCGGATATTGTTGCTATAATAGTTGGACCGGAGCCATAATCTAAAACACTAAGATCATCAGTAAGTTCATTGAAGGCATTGTGGTAACAAGTAAGCATATTAGTGCTTCGAATTTCATGAACATTGGCATAACGTTGAAGGTAAACAAAAGGGTCAAATTTGTTCAATTATAGTCTTTGCCGCAAAGTATCCCCTCCATTTGCTAGTAGTTCTACAGTTTGCAAGTACGGAACTGTTCAGCTTTGAAGGTTTCAGTTAGAAGGTTTTTACCCTGTTTCTGTCAATCACATAGAAACATTATGCGCTCTAGGCATATTATAAAGGGAGTTGTATATATTGAAAAGTGCAAACCCTCGGCGAACTGCGCATGCGCGGTACCTCTAATTGATGGGCTGGGCTATTTTTATGCGCTTACTTGTGGTCTCCAGCGAGTTTATATTATAGCTCGCGGAGAGTCTGACACGGGCTAGCTACAGTAGTAGATAGCATGCGGGAGTCAGTACATGCCATCGTTGTGACTTCTTGTGCCTTCAAAATACACAAAGCGAGCGGACCCGGTCGAGGTAAGCCTGTGCTAGCAATTGGCTTGTTGACTTGGTTTTTACGCCACAACTTTAGACTAAAAAAATTAAGCCAGTGTAGCGCTGAACCCGTTGGTGTCGCTTTTTGGGCCGGTTTGTTGCGCGTGGTGGCAGAAAACATTGTAATAGACAGATACACAGACAATGGTGGGGTAGCTACGCATGTGTACCCAAAATAGACGAAGCTATCTATGTGTGGCATGATAGGTAATTATTAGCCAGGCCTTCCACGTGAGAGAAAGCCCCAATATCCCGGGAATTCCGAATCATGTTCGGATGTCACTTGTATACCTACATGGTTTGTTTCAGAATGGCTCAATGGCGAAGTATTTACTGCAGGAATGAATCGCTGTGTACAAATACACACCCACATTTCTTTGTGACGCGTTAAGTGACCCATGTGCGAAGTGTGTAGCTAATGAACTTTTGTGTACCAAACCTTGTATCTCTCGCGGAATGCCTGGGAACGAGGCTAGGGTAACAATGTATATACAGCTGTATACTGTAGAAAGTATGTTGCTTAACCCTGTGTATACAAGAAGCTGTCTTACTCTTTTGTCAGGGGTAGCTAGCTATCACTTCTGAAAAAGTCAAACCTATTATGAGGATTAAACAAATGCCTCTGGATAATCTTGGTGGATACAGACACCAGTCGCAGTGCTGTCACACAGAATTCATCCCCAGAAGCTCTCTTTCTATAGCTCTTCCGCACCGGACGAAGTTGAGAGGTAAAAAACTGCACGAACTTGAACCTAGGGCGGTTGTTGAGTGCGCATGGAGTGTAGGTCTCACCACTCAATCCGAAGCCTATGAGGGATTCAGTCTCATACGCTGACTGCAGATGCTCTACCGACAACCACTTTAGAAGGAGCAACCGATTAGGAATTTATGTGATACGGCCAAATAGGTTTTTGGGTCCTCCCTGGTGCATGCGCAGCGCCGTGTGTGTGCAGACAACAATTGATACAAGTTCTGACATACAGAGAGAACAAGTGAGACCAGCGTGCAGACTGGGCGACTGGCAAGCGAAACTAACCTGCTACCAATCAGGAGTGCCGCTGAGGAGGCACACACGACAAGCAACCGCTTTGAAACGTATGAGCGTTCGGCAGAATTGCTAAATGCCAGATCAATAATTTCAAACTATGAGCCTCTACTTGCTAGAAACGTATATCTAACAAAGGATAAATTTGACACATAGTTCACTTGACAATAGGAATCGTAAGTGTATGGTATGCAAAAAGCACTAAAGTGCAAGCCCTCGGCGAAATGCGCATGTGACATACCGCGTTTCTCCCGCTAGTAGCTCGCGCAGAGTCTGGGCTAGCTACAGTAGTAGATAGCATGCGGGAGTTCATATAAGTCCCTCTTATTGTTCCTCCAAGATACACAGAGCGAGCGGACCCGGTCGAGGTCAGCCGCGCCCCGCATTTCGAACGCGTACAATATACGCATGCGCACAGCTAATGGATGCCACGCAACTCTGTCCGCGACCAGCCAGTTTCTCGCTCTCGACCGCAGTCGTTTCAGGAATCGCCTGGTATCGCTCATGGGCCCCTCGAACCCTGTAGTGCGAGAATAGCTGCTGACAGACAGCGCGGCGCATGCGCGACGAGGTTTAATGATGCGCGGTACCTAAGACGACGCGGCTCGGAAAAATGGCGAACGTCTCCTCTCATAAAACTTCGTCTGTTTTATGGACATGAGGTATCGTATCGCTCTACTCTCTGTGCTCCAGTGTCATTGACCAGCAGTCAGAAAATATGGCTGTCATTTGCCGAGATTACGAGTCATCGACCCAAGTTTCAGCTGTCCAGCAGAGCGTGGGCTCTATCTGGTCGCCAGGTGCCAGATTATGCTCCGGTTGGAGTCAGAGCTGGGGCTCTATCGTATTTTCGATTATCTGGACTGGAACTTCAGATTTCATGTTTATACTTTAACTGTTTGACTGTATGCATATGCCCCTTGGGTCCTGCAAAATGAACTTTGAACTTTGAACTTGAACTTTGAACTAATGACAGTGCTTCATAATTATGCAGTTCAGGAGAATCTTCTTTGTATATACAACAGTATAACTAGGAATGCGCACGCGTATATTTTGCTTCGCTGCCAGCCAATGCGTAAACAGTCCGACTGAGGCCGCGCGCTCTACTGACTGCGCACGAAGCCAGAATCTGCGCGCACGGCGGAAGCTGACTTCCTCGAATGACGGAAGTTGACATTCCTAAGCGTGACTAATTGACATTCTTAAGCGTGACGACACGTACGTATGCCCGGAGTAGTTGACTCACGCTAACGCGCTCGGCAATGACAAATGTAAATTTGCATACATGCATATTTGCTACCTCACTTCGTTTGTTTATTAACGCATACACTGGTGGTGGAAAAAGAACTGTCCTGGGTGAGTTTGCCTTTGCCTTTCTATATACCTCACTTGGTTTGTTAACTCTTGTATGCTTGTATGCATACATACATGTAGAACATAAACCAGCGATTGATCGGGCTGGCCAACTACGTAAGCGTACCCAGCACCGAAAGAATGCAATTGGGTCGTCCCCGCCCCGCACTCTTTGGCGCGCCACGCCCGTTCACTAAAACCGTTTACGGCTCCAGGTCGAGCGCGGAGACGGAGAGAGCCGAGCGTCGTGGACCCCTATCGTTCTCCCTCTGTGGTCCTATCGAAGGGATGACGGATTGCAACCCCGATGAACCGTGTGACTTTATCACTGTCTCTAGCAAAGCAAAAGGATGGCGCTGCCATTTCGCATTAGCTATGTACCAACAGCGCTTCCGCCCCGAATGTACCAAGGTTAACAGGATATCCTGTTGATCAGCTGGCAGTGTTTCACGCATAAGCTTATATAATACGCTATCATAAAGTGCGTGCCAGAACAATTGATTCGCCCACGCAAGGTGACACAAGCATGCCGACCCGTCTTGCATCATGCATGCACATGCATAAATACATACATGCTTTCATACATGCATGCATGTGAGACACTGAGGGCTTAAAAAGCTCACAGCTAGTATATACTGCATATATACCAATGGCTGTCTCAGTGGTATATAGGTTGTAAAGACCGAAACCTGTGACCTACACGATGGGGGTGAATTTTTGTGCATTGTTGAGAGTTTGTCCTTTCCTCATAATTATGGTACAATTACACTATGAAGTGAACCAGTACCTATCAAGCATAGAATGCATGCTTGTGAGTCTTTAGAAAGTTCATGAACTTCCACTGTCCACGGCATATCACTGTATATAGGCATGCAAGCTACTCTGACTGCAAGGCTGCTGCTAGTGTATTATTTTTAGGTAATTTGTATGATAGCCTTCATAAACGAAATGTGGCTGTATAATAAGGGCTAAATTAATTGAAGTCTGTTATACTGCCGCATTCCCTTAAATGTAGAATTTGCCCATTTTTCGGAGGAATGGCTCCAGTTTGTCCATTGTTGGGAGGTTGTCCTCTCCTTCAGTGTCCATATCGGAGGTTCAACTGCATAAGCTTGCATTCAATGATAAAATTCTTTGAGGCTTAGAATGTAACTTTACCTGCTTGGAATAACCACAAGCAGTCATTAAGAGTATATAGAGTGTGTGTATCAGTATTTTGAGTGAACAAGACATTGCTTATTGTGTAGTGACAGAAACTGTCTGATTCCTTGTCATGTGGCCAATGCTGGGACTGTCCGTTCTATGTGCACACACTTTTTTCTAAGTATATATGCATCCATAGTTATGAATAACATGTTAGCATCTATAGTATTACGACACCCACATAAATTCTTCGTATCGACTTATGGAAGGGCTGGACACATTATAATTATGTGTCCGTGGCTGGTTAAATATCGTGAGTTAGATATTCCACACTAGGCAAACAGAAGTGTTGGAACTGGAACTGAGTAGTGCATGTAAAACGTGCTTGGTGCACACAAACGGGCTTTTTTTGCAGATTGATAGAATGTCAGGAGGAAAGCAATAGTGAATATGACATTGAAAGGCAGCTAGCTATATACTCTCATGCGGATGGGCAACGATCGGGATTTTGAACGTAATCTTCCTATAATAACTAGCGAACCATCCACAAGAGCAGATGCATATAGAGTTCAACTTTATTGTTTATTTTTGAACATCTCACATGCCGTGCATATTTATCTAGAACAGCTTAAATGCATAGCAAAATCTGTTGTATATTATAATTATTTCTGTAAAAAATGTGTTAAAAAGTTAACCTAGTAACTTATTCCCTATCAAACATATGTGATAGGCTCTGAGAAAAGGAACAGATAAGCAACAAATTGCCCTTTCAAAGCTTCTAACATTCTTCTCATGCAACAGATGGCTGTGGGGAGACGGAACAGATAGCAGCTAAGCAACAAATTGCCCTTTCAAAGCTTCTGATATTCTTCTCATGCAACCGACGGCTGTGGGGAGAAGGAACAGATAGCAGCTAAGCAACAAATTGCCCTTTCAAAGCTTCTAATATTCTTCTCATGCAACCGACGGCTGTGGGGAGACGGAACAGATAGCAGCTAAGCAACAAATTGCCCTTTTAAAGCTTCTGTCTTTGATAACATTCTTCTCCTGCTATCACATAATCACAAGCGGCCATGTGGGACTGACTATGTATACAGTACGTTAAGTTTGTGTGGTTTTGCACTGGAAGACAAAATTCAGGGTTACTTGTGCTTGGCGGGCTTTGTGGAGAGCGGCCCACTTGTGTATAGATGCGTTTACGTGCCACGCATGCGCACATACAACGGGGTGGTCCCGCTAACGCGCGCTCGCCTCGTGAAACTTCCTAATTGGCATTCCAATGTTTCATTGCTCCAGCTTTAATTGATTGTCTGTTTCCTTTGGTATGGGGCGCCGTCTGTCTCAAAATTTTGCAAATAGCTGTTTTTTGTTATCCCGCGCTTCATTTGTAAAATCCGCTCCGGTTATACAAATCCCTTCTGGATTATACATACCCCGGACTGGATATAGCATATCCCCACACTGGATATAGCATATCCCGCTCCGGATATATAAATCCTGCACTGGATATAAATCCCGCACTGGATATAAATCCTGCACTGGATATAAATCCAGTGCAGGATTTATATATCCGGAGCGGGATATGCTATTTCTGGAGCGGGATATGCTATATCCAGTGCAGGATTTATATTATATCCAGTGCGGGATATGCTATATCCAGTCCGGGGTATGTATAATCCGGAAGGGATTTGTATAACTGGTGCAGATTTTACAAATCACGCACGGGATAACAAAAAACAGCTATTAGCAAAATTTTGAGACAGACGGCGCCCCATACTTTGGGTTACTGGAAATTTAGCTAATTTACTATCACAAAGCTCGGCTTTCAATCATTAGCGCGGGCAGTCGCCATGTGCGTATGTAGTAATTATAGTACAGTATGTGCTTGTCACACTTGGTGTGGTTAACATGTTACACTAACCTATTTCAGTTATGTTCTTATTGTGAATATACACTATTATATAGCTATAATTTACTCATGTATTGCCAATATCTGATGGTTCGCAGTTAGTAAAAAACGTGACTGTAAGATTCATTGCGTGTGAATGGCTAATGAGGGCATCACAATGAAAAACATAGGTAATGCCCATGGACGCAACTTGACCTCTGTCGCTCCAGAGACCATCGAGCAACTATAATTATGCAAGGTTTTACCAGAATTTTTGTGTCCCTTCCTCGATAGAGAATCTTTCTTTACTTGGTCTGATAAACTGTACGCACTGTGAATAGTTAATATTTGAACAAACACACAGATTATTATCTTTTCACCCGACTGTAAGGAAATCAATATGCTCACTACAGCAACAAATTCTTTAGTGATATATACAAGGATTACAGGAACGTACACTAGCTCCCTAATTCAGTAGAGAGTTAATTACAGATACAATCAAATAGAAAGAAAAGTTAATAGTGCAACTGTTGCTTGTAGAAAATGTAAGAATATTAGCAATATCAATTTCGAAATTGCTACAAGTCATCATTTCACTTGGAGCACTAATTACTTTATTTGTTGCCTCACGGATGATTAAGACCATTCTTTCACGCCGATGGAGTTCAACATGACAGTGGAAAAATCAGTACCCTGGGTTATTGGAACGGAACTGAACCACCACATAGCCACCGGCTGGCAAAACGAATGTGTCTTTTCGTACGGTGAATGGGTCAAGAGGAAATGTGGTGTTGGAAGATCTAAAACGAGGCTTAGGGCAACGCATCTTGTCGAGAATATCACGGTCATTTCCATCATCTCTACAAGTCAGGTCTCGAGAGCTGCCAAGCAAAGAACCATTCTCACTGCTGTATTGTCCGTATCCAACTTTCATGACATGCACAGAGTGGCCGTGAATGTGCATGGGGTGGGTGGAGTTTCTTTCCTCACCAACTGTACTGATGACAAGTCTGACTGTCACGTTATCACCAATATCCATGACTGTAGTACATTTACAACCCACTGCATCCGTGCACTCTGAGTTCGCATCACAAAAGGAGTCTTTGTCATTCTTCTCATTTAGCGTTGTAAGTGGGTAGGAAGGAAATATAAAGTTTTTGTCATTGATGCTGCTTATTGGCTTCATAAAACTCACAAATCCTGCCATATTCAGGAAATAAGTAATATCAGGGGTTGTGTTTGGCATTTCACTTTGAGGAGTTGATTCAACAAGCCTTAGTTTGTCAATACTGATGCACTCGATATTGTATGAAGGGTGAAAATATCTGCACAGATTCTGCTGTGTGCATTGCTTCGAGTGCCATGTAATATTACTATATTGTAATGGGTTTGGCTGCTCTGCCCCAGAATAATGCATTATTGCCTCTGCTTTGTGTTCATAAAAGTCATATGGGGTGGCCCACTGCAAGTTGTGTTTATTTCAAATGTTTCGGCCGTCATCCAGTAATTTCCCTTTGCCTCATTTGCCTCAACCAAAAAGTCATACCTTTCCCCTATATGTAATGCAATGTAATCGACTTCGACTGGCTCCACTAGTTATCCGTCGGTATAGCCATTACTTTCAGTTTGTGATTATCAATGGAGAACCTAAAGGCATACATTATTCCAGTGTGTATCAGTCGAAATCGGTAAGTGTTATCCTCTTCAACCTCGTACAATGTTAGGCTGGAGCGTTCGTAAGGAACACTGTGATGTCTACCTTTTCCATTTATGAGACCAGCCCAAAATGGGTTATTGCCTATAATGCCAAAATCTGGGCCAGACTTATCCCTGAAAGACTCTGATGGATTCACATCATCAGATGGTATTGTGAAAGGCGGTAGGTTTGGATATAATCCAATGTCAAACCTGTCTTGCCGAAAAAAATCCGAAAAATAAGTTTCATACCAGTCCATGACCATCAACATGTGGCTGGCTGGGTTGTCTAGGAATGAAATTGGGTACTTCAATTCTTTCTCTTTCACAATCAGAGCACCAAAGAGACCATTTGTTCGCTGAGATCCCATGTGAGAGTGATACCAGAACGTTCCGCTGGGCCTAGCTTTGAACACATACCGAAATGAGCTTCCAGGTTGAATGGGGCACTGTGTAACCAAACCCACTCCATCCATGAAGTTGGTCTTTATCTGGTGCTGTCCGTGCCAGTGAATGGATATCGCTTCAGTACTGAGATTGTTGTGAACATCGACTGCAACTATTTGTCCCTCATGAACTATCAGAGTTGGTCCAGGGAACTGCCTGTTGATTGCTATCACTGTCTTAAACGTTTTACTATCAACTGTTATTACATCATCCGCGTTCTTCTTCGCACGGGACAGAACGGCGGTTACCATAGCTACGGGCATCTCTATCTGAACCGTACTCAGTCTCAGTACTCTATTTTTAGTGAATGTGGGTATTAACACTCATTTGAATGTAAGTATGTGGTGGATACCAAAGCATGTCCGCGGATTGGAATGCCATGCGGCACGACGCGTTGACGTGGGCAGCAGCACGCAGCGTGGGTTAAATGAGGTAGTGAGCTCACTTGGAGTTTACGCAACCTTCTGAGTCGTTCGGGTGCGTCTGGATGACGATTGCCTACTTCCTGCTGGAAGGCTGGCCGTTCTGAGGTGTTAGGCGAGAGAGTTGAATAATTTCTACTCATAGCTTGCGTCACCTTCAGTAACAAGCTCATACTCAGCCCAGATGTCGGAGTAATAGCGTGGCCTTTTTGTCGTTTGTTCGTAAGAACGGGAGTTAGGTTATAGCTACGGCGACAAGGAGCTCCCAGTGGCAGTGCAGGTTTTTCAAAGAAGGGGTGAGTTAAGGGTAGTGTCTGAAATCTATAATGAGACAGAGTTTAACTGTTGTCCACTGAACGATGTTGAGAGTGGGGAGGTATTTTAGAATCGAACCTAGCTACGACGAACGTCATGTCTCTGAGCAGTCGCCTCATCCCGAAGCTCTCCCTTTCGTTGGGGGGCGTTGTCATCAGTATCCACGCGCATGCACATCAGTGTCCACGATTGGCAGGAACCCCACTTGTAGAAGCCTCTGGATCCGCCACTGATACTTGTATTATACCTATGTTGCCACGTTTAAAATTTTGTGACAATCAATGCGTTTCGATGATGAGAGTGCGGGGAAGTAGATAAACGACAGAGCATGCTCAGGCTGGAGTCAAAGCTCCCAAAGTGTCAATCGTTAGCCATTTCCTTGGCATTTCTGGTTTCTAGGCAGTAATGCTGGATGATTGTATATACATACCTGTATGCCTTGCCAGGTGTGTCAATCATCAACTATTTAACAACCCAGTGTTTCCATTGCAATTCTTAATGCTTGATGCTTTGCTGTAAAGAAAGAAACCAGGCAATCTTGAGTGTTATACAAAGCCAATTTCGAGTGGCATGTCATTATAAGATTGATGCTATCAAATATGTGATAGCTATAATTATTAGTACGCATTGTGTATTCCTGTTTCACGAACGGCACAAGGAATGCATTAGTTTTAAATTGAACGTGACGTCACATCCGGAGTCCCGTTCTGGCTCCCGTTCTGGCTCCAGGAATGTGCGTTCTACAGAGAAATGGAACTGTAGAGCGGCGTAGCGAGTAGCTCTTACGGTATGCTCTATTTATAAGTTATTTTTGCGATATTACAGTAACCGTAGTATGTGTGAGAAAAAGAACGGACGCTCTAGCTAGTTCCTGCGCGGAGATCTGGGCTGAGAAAGGATAGTTGTTAGTATCATGACTGGAAATCGATGTGTTCTGTGTGGCTCTACACGTGCAACAGACCCTGGAGCCTCTTTTCCCACGTAAAAGCTGAGGCTCCTTGCTCGGGTCTCCACCAGGAAAGTGTCGGCTACACAGCCGAGAATATGGCGTCAGCACCTAGCTGTAGATTTGCAATCCACCTCGCTCTCGCCGTTTTTCAGCCGGGAAACGGTGAAAAGAGGCTTCAGGGTCTGTTGCACGTGTAGAGCCACACAGAACACATCGATTCCCAGTCATGATACTAACAACTATCCTTTCTCAGCCCAGATCTCCGCGCAGGAACTAGCTAGAGCGTCCGTTCTTTTTCTCACACATACTACGGTTACTGTAATATCGCAAAAGTAACTTATAAATAGAGCATACCGTAAGAGCTACGCGCTACGCCGCTCTAAGTATATACGGACAGTTCCGTAGACAGCCAGAACGAGACTCCGGATGTGACGTCACGTTCAATTATCTCGCCCACTTTACGTGCCATGCATACTTTTGCATTCGTGAAACTGGTCTATTGCTTGGGTTATCATTTCTTCTGCGACCGAGGTGGAGGGCCATTTTTAATGCAATAAGGTTAAAATACTAGTACAGTGGGACCTCCGATAACGAAACTCCCCAAATAGCGAAAACCTCTCTATAAAATTATTTTTATGTATCAACTGACTTTAGCATTATACATGTACAATACAACCTCCCTATAGCGAACGTCTCAGCTACAAAATAACGTAACCACAGCGCTGTCCCACGTATATACACTTCTATATAACGGAGAGTGGGCGTAGCCTACACGTTACGTAACGTCACACGCGCGCACGCTATACTTTACGACGACTTAACCATAATAGTTATAGCTCAACTAGCTTAGTCCATGAGCACGAAGAGAAGAGAGGAACTCTTGAAGTATCCTGATGTAAGGTTCTGGTCCATAAAACCTGTAGTAGCTAACAGGGAACTTCAAGTCCTGAAGGATGTGCAACTGAGCTTTTCTTGAAAGTCGTTCATTTTTTAATGAAGCGGGTGATACTAGCTCTTTAATTGATCGTGTTGCTCTGTTATACACTATCAACAGAAGGCAGAGAACTTCCTTAGTGCTGAAAACTAAACTTGTGTCTTCAATGTGTGGTTCTTACAAAATATTTTATACCTCTCAATAAAGAAAACGTTTGAATGCTGGTTATTATACCTATGTTGCCACATTTAAAATTTGTGCCAATCAATGTTTCGATGATGAAAGTGCAGGAAGGTAAGCCACAGAGTATGCTCAGGCTGGAGTCATAGCTGTCAAAGTGTCAATGATTAGCCATTTCCTTGGCATTTCTTGTTTCTAGGCAGTAATGCTGGATGCTGATTGTACCTATATTATACCTTGCCAGGTGTGTCAATCATCAACTATTTAATAACCCAGCGTTTCCATTGCTTCATGCTTTGAACCTACACTGCTGTCAAGAAAGAAGCCAGGCAATCTTGAGTGTTATACAAAGCCAATTTCGAATGGCATGTCATTATAAGATTGATGCTATCAATATGTGATACAGCTATAATTATTAGTATGCATTGCGCATTCTTAATTGCTTGGGTTATCATTTCTTCTGCGACCGAGGTGGAGGGCCATTTTTGATGCAATAAAAACTATGGTTACAATGCTAGTATGTATATACCTAGAAAATGCAGAAACCTAGTTTTTACATATTATAAAATGCTTTTACATGGAGCATAATGTAGCCAGTTTTTTTTTCAACTTTGGTGTTTGAAAAAGTCCAAACTCAAACTGTTATGGCACACAACGAATGGTTTTTTCCCCAACTGGTCACGAATGGGTTAAAAAAATGCTCTTTCTTTTCCACTTGCATCTTATCAAAACATATTCATCATAATCACAAGATGATTGCTGAGAGAGAAGAGAGAGAGAGAGAGAGAGAGAGAGTGACCAAATTTTACACCATCGCTAGCAGGATTTTTTTGACTTAGTCTATTCTTATCTGTTCAGAGTTTGCAGGAGCAAAATATAGAGCCTGCATAGAAGGCGAAAAAGCATGTAGGTAATTGTGGATAAACAAAATCAAAATAATTATAGCAAGCAATACATCCTGAGCACGTACACAACAGCCATTTTAACAAACCTGCACGTCTTCTTCCTTGGCAGCTACAAACAGCACATGGAAATAGGTTCCGTAGTAGTGTGTGGGCATTGACTATATAATTCATGGCAAATGGTGACTATAGTTGGGATAATACATAGCGCAAGGAGAAGAAACAGAGATTACCTTATCAATGAACACATTAGCTTGAAATTTTCCTCCGCACAAGCCCTAGCTAGGTCGCCAAAAGATACGGTAGTAGGCTATGAGACACCAATGCTATAATATAGTGCAGGGTTGCTAGTGTGCATAATATAATAACCCGTACCATCCTCAATTGAGCATCTATCAACCTTTCTATCAACGATCATTCAATGTGTTCTTAACAGAGACTTTTTATTTTATATATAGGTGTGTGTGGAAAGCAAGTGTCGCATTTATATCTGGATATGGAAAGTGGCAATCACAGTACTGCTGAGTTGACTGTCTTTAATGCAACCAAAAGCAACATTGTACCACTAGAGAATGATATGCATTTGGAAGGAAAATCAGGTACGATTCATGTCAATGGTGTTGAATTATATTTTGAACGCTATGGCAATGGGCCACATGCCATACTGTGTATGCCTGGAGCTCTGGGAGGTACACTTTCCTTTGTGCCACAAATCAACTACTTTGGTCGTTCCGGGAGCGGTTACACTTTTATCAGCTATGATCCTCGGGGCTATGGTAGGTCAAAATCAAGCAGTCGGGTGTACTCGTCTCCTCTGTACTACAACATTGATGCAAAAGATGCTGTCGGGCTCATGAACGCCTTGGGGTTCAAAGAATATTCACTTATGGGGTGGTGCGAGGGAGGTACTTGTGCCATTATCACAGCAGCTACGTTCCCAGATGCTATTCAAAGTTTAGTTGTGTGGGGGCCACATGTTTATCTACAGAAAACAGATTTAGAACTTTTCCATAAATTGAACAATATTGAAACTTGGGAGCCTAAAGCCAGAGCTACACTTGAAAAATACTATGGGGAAGAGTTGCCGTTACTTTGGAGAAAGTGGTTCGATGGGTTTATTAGTGTTTACAATGATCCTGTGAGACAGGGTGATATTTGTAAGAGGGAGGTGAGAGAGATTCAGTGTCCGACCCTGGTACTTCATGGAGAAGAAGATCAACTTATTCCTTTCTATCAGGTCGAGTTCCTCAGAAACAATTTGCAAAACTACCAGTGTGAAATAATACAAGGAGGAAAGCATTCTCTTCACTTCAAATCCAGCTCATTTAACAATATAATTGATAAATTTTTAACCACTCACAATACTAAAGTTTGTTAAAACTGCTACAGAGGAACTCTTTTTATTAAAATGCATTTGAAATGAACGGTTAGACGCAAGTTTTCACAAAAAATTGTATCGGTTTTTCATCATACTTATAGCATACCTCAATACCCGAGCAAGCAAATAGCATGGGTGTTGCAATGCCTGCACCTGCACGCATTGAGCATTGAATTTTTGCACTTTGCTGATGAGAGATGGTGGGTTTATTAATTAACCCTCAACGCGCATGCGCAGCGAGGGTTACAGTAGTTGCTCTATGTGTCTATCTGTCCGTACCTCGACATCATGAATAGCTCCACAAACAGTACCACCCCTATCCCACACCTACTACCAACCAGAGCATTCTCTATGCGATACTCCAGTGCAAAAATGAGGCTTGTATGTAATGAAGGGAGTGTAAGGATATTATCTCATTAAAAGAGGTGAACAAGGGCATGCCTACACTGAGATACGGAAATTCATTCATAACTTAATCCATCCATCTTTGTCCTCCATCTTACAGAGCATTTTTCCTTCAGCTCTTCAAAGCACGCGCGCACACGCACGCATTAGCTAACAGCCCTTGTTCCCAGGTCTAGCTAACTTTGTTCGTCAGTAAATATCTCCGACTTTTCAGGATATTTCTGATACTTGAGTCGGTGATATTCTCAGTCCTGGAACCAAATTGTTGTATCTGATTTCCGCATGATGTTGTGTACTTGTGATTTGATGAGATGATGGTAGTTTCTATCGTTGTGTTCTTCAATTTTTATGTTTCTAGGCTTTAGGATATGTTCACTGTTTATTTTCATTTCAGGCCTTCTTTATAAAGGCAGCCTGGGTCTTCTAAACATGTTCATTGGCCTAAAGTCACACACTCTGATTGTGACAAATAATATTGCTAGACTAGCACTTAGCCACACATAGCCAGACCCACATGCGTGGTACCATGCCGCCGAGGGTTTTGCACTTTAGTGCTTTTCATTTCAACAGTGCTCAGCCAGTACTGACATATTGAAATCAGCATTTCTTACAGTATGCTTGTGCTCCTGCCGCCTCATAGACAGTTGGCGACCAGTTTGTCCTACATACACTGCAGGGCAGTCTTGACATGGGATTGAATACACTACGCCTATTCTGTTTGGGGATCAATCGGATCTTTAGGTTTCATCAATTGAGTGTAGCTATAGCAAGTACGGAAGGTGGTTCTAATATCTGCTTGTGCTTGTGCTAGAATCCGTCTCATGGCCTCAGAGACACCCTAACATAAGGTAGTACAACTGTGGTCTTTTTCTCTTTCTCTATGGTTCGCACTGCTTGGTCATTACAAATTTTCGAATGCCTCTGAATGAATTGTTTAGGGTAACCATTCTTCTTTAACACGGTGATATATGCTTCAATTCAGTAGATCTTTTTGGGGGAGTTATTCCGTGTCTACCATGGAAGTGGCTTGCAGAACGATTGCTTGATGTCCGTGCATGCCTCCGGCGAATGTGGAGACGTTTTGTGAAAAAAATAGCACTGCAATTAATTCTGGTAAGCGGATAGGAGGTTTACTGAAGAATAATAATGATGACGCGAATAATCGTGAAATCGCGACTGAATCATATTACTCGTAAAACTATTGCCATATCAAGGTATAATAATAAACAATGCGGTTTGAATGTACCACACACAACTGTTGGTGCAGTGATCAGTGCAGTGGGATGGTTACCAAGTAGCAGTGTGTATGGACAAGATTTTACCGTCTTGCTTTTAGCAACAGAGCAGTCGTTTGCGCTATTTCACAATAGCAATTTCAGGAATTCTCTGATGTTATCTTTTCCAATTATAGCATGTCAATGTGCCGTGTGCACAACTGTTCGTACTGTGCTAGTATAATTTGTTAGACTGACACCACAAAAATGGACAATGGACACAGTATAATGTGCGAAGGTTGTCCCGTATCCACATGCTATGCACTTTCAAGCATTTTACTTCAATTATCAGCATTTTTGGCAACAAGCAAAGGAATTTTATCACAGACATGCTTGAATTAGTATGCCGATG